TTTAAAAATGATAATAGTACCTATTCTTTTGTAAAATAACATGAATTTAGAATTTTCCAACATATACATTCTGAATAATAATTGCATTTAAGTAAGCTATTTTTTACTATATTTTAAAATTTAAAAGTACTATGTATTTGGATCATTTTTTTCACATTTTACCATTGAAATACCAAAATATTGATTTTAGATCTTATTTCTATATAAAATGAGCTTTAGTTTGATACCAAACTTGATGGGATTTGATAAGTATGAAAAATTACAAAAAATCACTTTGCACTATGAAATTGCCCATTTGGAGTCCTGTGCCCCTCAAACCTGGTGCCACTGTTATAGAATTTTGTGAGAATGTGTATATTAAGTAGGTCTTTGTACAATTTAGTAAAGGGAAAAACCTCACTAATAGAATAAATTATTAATCAAGTTTTGACAGGTTTATGTATTCGGGGATTTAGAACACAGCCCCTGAAACAAATTAGAAACATCAAGCACATTATTAAAATTGTTCTTGATTGTGATTATTTCCATCCTAAAATTAATGAGAACAAAATGTGTAATATCAATCAGTATGTATTAATTACTGTATTGTGTGTTTTTTTTTTCATCCCTAAGGCAAAGCTTGTGATGGGGCAGCAACGGTATACTTGGCCCAGCATACGCCCTCAAGCACATTTGTTGCAGTACGCAAGACAGATTTAGAATCTGATAAAGCATCTTTTGCTAATTTACAGGTAGAACTTTTTTGAAAATTGTGTTTTTTAGCTAAGTGATGTGGAGCTGTGGCTTGTTGGATAAATCTCTGTCCAGATTATTAAATTTAATGTGAAAAAAAAACTGCCCATATATAGTCATGATGTGCCTACTGTATATATGGTCATGAAGTGATGTCATCATGACCATAATTGGGCATGTCACATGTTTGCCTAAGCCCAATAAAGGACTTTTTTTTATGGAGCATTAGTTTTGTTTCTGTAATTAATGAGTCACTTTTGATTGAAAAATAAAAATAAAATAATAATGGTTAAAGCCACAGAGCCTTGTGGGAGCTTTCTTTTCAGTTGTGGTCAAATAAAAATCAAATCAGGACCAAATGCGCTTCATTCCCTACAGCTATTAAACTTTAAACAACAATTTTATTGTAGTAATAAAGCAGTTGCACAGACTTTCGTACTTTATTTGTACATCATAAAACCAGATATCCATTTGTATTTCCTCCAAATGTGGTTACTGTAGAAGTTTTTGAATATTCAGTAAAACTGGTCTCTTGAGGAAATGTTACCCACATATGAAACAACATTTCCCTTTAGTATTTCTCAACCACAGACCTGTATCAAGACCTTGGTTTAAGAAATTGTTTTTAATTCTTGGCTGAAACCACCAATATACAAAGAAAGTGAGACTTGTGGTGTTAATGTTAGTATGAAGTACACGTTTCTAAGCTACAGTAAGCTTAAATGTTTTCCAAATGTATTTGTTTGTTTAACTTTCAGCATGAGTTCCATTTAATGCGACTGCTGCAACATGAGCACCTTCTTTGTTGTCATTGTGCATTTGTTGTTGCTAATGAATTATGGGAAGTCATGCCTCTTATGGACTATGGTAAGAGTCTTGATTTCAGAATCTCTTGAAAGCTCAATCTGAACTACCATTAAATTACCTCCAGAAGTATGGTCAAAACCATGTTGATTTGGGGCTGACTTTTTTTGTTGTGTTTACACGTAAACCGAAATTATGACCACTTTGCATTACATGTAGATGACAATAGGATGTAAGAAAAAAAATACAAGACATGGAGAAAACATTTGATAATGTATAGACATCTGGGTGTGAGTCCCCTTCACCATTACAGCTATCAATATTGAGATTACAATGTTAATTTGTTCACTTATTTCTTCATTATTTATTATTCACCGCATTATTCAAATTTTGATGCACAATAATCTACTTCGACATATATACCTTCTACTCCATTATGTTTCTCATAGGGTTACCGTAGTATCATTCTTATTACCTATCCTGACTTAATTCTCTAGCAAAAAATCTATCATTTCCTCCTCGAAACATTTTAATCAAGTGTTGGCTTTATATTATTTGTTGTGTCTCATTAATGTATGTATTTATTTGCACTTGGATTTATAGGATCTGCTCAAGATATTGTAGCAGCCAATTTTCCTGACGGATTGGGTGAATTATCCATAGCATACATTCTCCGTGATGTTCTTACTGCACTTGATTATATCCACAAAATGGGATTCATACACAGGTAACATTTTTATATCAGTCAATTAGATAGTTAATAAAATTTATCAATTATTATCCTATCTTGTAAAGAAGCCCATGAGTGTCTTTTCGAGGGTAATTTTGCAATCTATAGAAGGGGCTTCAATTCGAGATGGGCTTAAATTAGAGGTTTTATGGTATGACATTTGAATACTGACGTTGAACTGACCTGATGATAAAATTTAAGCTTCTTCTCTGAATAAGCCAAAAACAAGCTACAGTATTTACTTGTATGTGTAAAGCAGCCTGTGTAGAATATAATTGGATATCTCCTAGGACAGCATTCTACAAAGTTTTACACTGACGACCCACTTTGCGGAATGTTGTTTTAGGATGCAGAATATATTCTGGTGTACTCTCCTGGGTTCTACATCAAGCATGGTTGTCCCAGTATCAATCAACTAGTGAAGTCATGTGCCTTGAGCACTGCCTTTTCAACCATCACCACCACTAACATTCAAAAATGTTCACATACTGTATTTTAAAATTGCTACTGTTTTTATTTCAGGAGCATCAAGAGTAGCCACATCCTCCTGTCCCAAAATGGCCGCATTCTTATGACTGGACTCAGTACTGCCGTTAATATGGTCAAGGATGGTCAGCGACTTCGAGCAGTCCACGATTTTCCAACTCATGCTGTCAAGAACCTGCCGTGGCTTGCACCAGAAATATTAGAACAGGTAATTTACATTTTGATATATGAAATTACGTCAGTTATATTACGTTTAATTCTTGTTACTTTTTGATGTTTTCTAGATTTAATAACAGTAGATTTTTATAATGTTTTATTCATATTTCATTTCATTTTACTATTACTGTATATAATATATTTGTGTAATGCAAGTTTTTTAAAATCCATTTTGCAAATGCTATAAGTACTATAGTATGTGAAAAGTATTATAAATGTGCATTAATTTGATAGGTTTTAGTTGGCACCAGTCTGTTCGTCTGACTGACCAATGGACTGATTAAATGCCGGACAAACTGTCTACTTGATTGATACACTCATTCACTTATTAATTTATTCATTCATTCATATCACTTTGGTTTCCATTTAGCAGTAATGTACACTAATTATGCATGTATGTTCAGTATTGATTTTCATATTGTATTTATGTATCTGCTTTTTGTACAGAATTTACTGGGCTATGATACAAGGAGCGATATCTACAGCATTGGAATAACAGCGTGTGAACTAGCCAATGGATGTATTCCTTTCTCTGACATGGTATCAACTAAAGTATGTTTGAGATATTTATAAAGCTCTGTATTCACACTATCAAATTTTATGTGACAAATAAATGTGATATGCTAATATTTGCACAGAGCATTAGTTTCAAAAATTTGATGATTAATAGTGTATGCATTACAATTAATTATATCAATTAAATATTTTATTATATTGTTTTTATTATAATAAAAACAATATAATAGAAAAGTATTATATTGTTTTTATTATAATACTTTTCTATTGTTTGAAGTTCAATTTTTTTTAAATTATAATTACTCCTATAAATTATATAATTACATTTATTAAACCTAGCATTTCATTTTCAATATAATAATAGTTGTAAAAATAATAATTTAGTACTTAAGGTTTTTAAGATCTGCTTGTTAGTTTATTTTATTCTACTTAATATACTTAATACTTAATATCGTAGTATTTTAAAAGATGGTTACAATCAAGAAAAAGACACAACTGATTTGCCATATGATGTTGCAACATTTTTTAAATATATTTATTTTTCTTACTGACTTACACATATAAAGCATGGGTTACCTTATCATGAGTGCCAGTGATGAAATAGCCTAACAAGTACCTCTAAAAACTCCATAATTCAAAAAAGTAAAATACATTAGAAAAAAAATGTTACATTTATAGAAAACAAGAGAGGGATGCTATGCCTCTCTTGTTCTCTATCTTCTACCCAATATTTGTCCATGTATTACCCTATATAACCATCATTATTAAACTTCCAATCTGTTAGATGCTACTTGAGAAGATAAATGGAACCACCCCAAAACTGCTGGATGCTACCACTCTGGGAGAGGAGCAACTTATGTCCCAGGCAGACTCTGGTATAGACACTGGTATGGTTGGCAACAGTGCATCGTCAAGTAGGCACAGTTCCAACCCCTACACAAGAGTTTTCTCATCCCAATTCCATCAGTTTGTTGATATATGTTTACTGAGAGACCCATCTGAAAGGTAAGGTATCACATGTTGCTGTCACATGTCTGCTCTATCACATGACATAACCTATCACATTTTTAGCCTATTCAGTGAGTATCAGAATGGTTTATATATATATATTTATTTATTTATTTTATTCATTTTGGCAAAACAATATAAAATCTGTACAAATATACAGTAAAAAGCTGGGGAGAAGCAAAAGCATAGGAATGCTATACTATATATTTATAACAGATACTAGATTCAGCTTTCTAATGAATCGTTTAATTTCTATCTTTCGTAGACCTAGTGCGGCAGCTTTATTAACTCATCCATTTTTTAAACAAGTGAAGAAAAGAACCAGTGAACTCTTAACTTCTGTTCTGCAATACTTAAAACCAATAACACAAACTGAACAGCTCTTGAAGAAAGGTAAGATCATAGAAGTACTGTAATTACTTATCAATTACAGGGTTCAGGATTTAATGCTAATATCATTATGGTTATTCTCGTGACTCCCAAGTCTAAAAAAAAAGCTAGGATATAAAGCTTTAGCTAGTCTCGATCCATATTTCTCTTTTAATAAAAAAGATTTGTGGCACTGCTCCATTAGTGAAGTGTTTGATTCACAGCTCTTTTAATCTGTGAACAAACAACTAGAATTTCAAACCGTATAGTTTACTGTGTTTGACAATAAAGATTGAATTGATTTACAAAAAAGTGTCTCATTCAGAAGTTGGTAACTAATCCCATAAGAATTCTATCTTTTTTAACAGATTTATGAAAATAGGGATTTCCATTATGGCCATCCCAAGGTTTTAATTTAATTTTTTTAAAATTAAAAATTCCAATTACAATTTTTTCCCATAGGCCAACCTTTTTCCCACCCCAACACACAAAAACAATTTCAAAATAACCTCTTTTATTCTTTTTTTTTGGCATTTATTTAAAAATAACCTTCTTCCCAAAAAGGCCCAGCAGTGAAAAGGTTAAGCAATTAAATATTTAATAGTTTTCAGATTTTAAATTAGGTCAAATTGTCCTGCATAACAAATTTCCCTATTTCTTGTAGTAACTAGGCCTGATGTAAGAGACACTGCACAGCAGCTACAGGAAATGGATGTAACAGATAATTGGGTCTTTGACTGAACATGTGATCTTGTGAGTAGATGCTGATTGGCCAGATGGGATACTGAGCAATATGTTAGCAACTGAGAACAGGTCAGATCGTTGTTGAAGGATGATGGGATGTGAGATGCATAGGATCTGTTTGAGAATTTTTTTTGAGAAAATGTGAATTTTATCTTAATTATGAAACCCATTTGGTGGTTTCCAGTAGAATTTAATGTAAGATAAATAAATTTATTGCAAAAATATAAAGCAAAAAAAAAACAGCAATAAACAAAGAAGTCGAAGGATTTTCAAGACATAGAATTTTTCTATTATATATATCAACTACTATTAAATAGCATTAAAAAAATCTACTGCTAAATAGTATCATTATGTATACAATTTCCATTGTTTGGAGGTGAAACTAACTAGGAGTTGCTTGGCAACAGGGAACAGGATTCCATTTGAGATAATGCTTAGCGGTCATGCACTTAGGCAATTTACACCTGATTCACGCAAGACAAAATTTTACACAGGACGCGTGTTAATAATTGCACGGACTTTGGCCAAATTATTCCTACAAAGACAGTTACATTCCCACAAGCAAATACAAATTTGCTAATTAAAAGCTGATGAAATGGATATGGTGTTGATTTTTCTTAGTTTAGGATAGTAAATGTTTAAAATCTACTAGGCCTACACGTAGGGGCCTAGTCAAATTTCTCTCCTGCGTCTGTGATTATCTTCGGCATTTCACATGAATATAATTTATCAAAAAATAATATAATTTTGAACTTGAGGGTTATCCTAAAAAGATTTTGCACGGAATGACAGATAATGAAGATATACATGCAACACCACAGAGTAACATAAGCGATGTGCCCATGAGTAAACAGTGCTAAATATCTTCAAAGTGTTACCAGCTTTTGCGATGTCTGTTTTCCTGCGTGGTTATTACACAGGACGCATACTAATTTGTGGTCAGTTGGAGGCAATGTAGTAAAGGACACATTCACCATTATAACTGTTTAAAATGCAAATAATAATAGCTGGTTAAATAGGCAGACAATCAAGATATAATATGCGGCACCACGAGCATGCACACACTGAACATGCTAAGTATTCCGAGGCCTCATATTTTGGAAATTACCTTGGAATACATACCACTATTACACGGATGTGCATCCAAATAGAGGAGAAACTTAGTGAGGGACGCACGCACGCTCAATTTTTCCTAGCAGGCATCACGTTTAATATTTTGTTTGTGCGAGTCTGGTCAAGATGAAGGTATATTTGTACTTAAAATGTTTATCCTAAACTGTTGATGCTGTAGCTGTGTTTGATAGAAATTTCCCTTACAGATTTATCATCACATCTACACTTCTTGGGAATTTAAAGCACTCAATTGCAGCATACTCATGTTCATTTCTGTTTGCAACCATGGATAACACAGAAAAGTCATGAAAAGTGAAACTAAATTAAGCAGGCTGGAATAAATCATTAAAACTGATAAATAAGATCACAACATTAATAATGTTGCTAGTCCCATTACCCAGGGTCAGTTTGAAGACAAGTGCAGCACTCACATCATGCAGTTGCATACGATAATACTGAGTAAGTCTAAAGGAGTTTATACCAAATTGGCTGAATAGTGAACAGAGGTTTGGGTTCGAATCCCAATTGGGAAGAACTATTTAATCATTCTTTATTCATTTTAATTATTTTTTTGGAAAGATTACTTTGTAACCATTTTAGTAAATTAATTAATATAAAAAATGTTTGTTATTGATAAAATTTAAAGGGAGTATATTGTATTTTATCATTGGTCAGTTAGAACAGTATGATGGGCGTACATTAAAAAATGGAAAAACTACCAGAATTTTACATACAGGATATTCATAAGAGAATACAGTAATATCCATATTGAGGTGTTTCTTTACAGAGAAAAAAAAATTGGCAGCTATCCAGAAACCCAGCAGCGTATCAAGCAGTTGTCTGGAAAACATTATGTTAAAACATTAATGTGATTGGTGGGTGTGAATATGGGATGTATTTAGAACATAGCACATAGTAATGTAATACCTAATGACTCACAGTGATAGTCATAAATATTATATGCACATCTGTGTGGAATTGTAAGTGGAAGCACTGCAGTACTTAAACTTCATTTTAAGCTTTTCATCTCTCATTTGAAATCCATGAGATTTTTGAGTCTTACTTAAAAGCTTGTAATCATATTTATGGATAAGAACTGTTATAATAATTTGAAAATTTTTACAATTGATTTTCTGGTTGCAAGCCAATCAAATCAATAAACCTTTGTTACCGAATCCTTTATTTAATTAGCTGGTATATTTATCCATTGAACTTTTTACCTATTACACTGTACCATACATTCTTCCAGTTACATTTTTCTGAATTCAGTCCTCCCATTGGTGTCTGTGAATGTGATGGGCATTATTCACCCTAAAGCAACTCCCCAATCCACCTTTTGCACTTGGTTAATTTGGGGTAGTGACATCATCTGTATGAGGTATTAAATAAAAACATTACCAAAGAGCGGGGCTATTACTGTAAATTTCTGCAAAAGGTGGATTGTTATCAGAGGTAAATTATTGGTTGTTGAATAATTCTCTCCTGATTAGTACCTGGGGATTAATTTGATTTGTGAATTAACCCTCCGATGTTATTTGTGAGGGACATTAGTCCCCCTCCCTCAATTGGTATCTACAGGGAAATACTGTAAGTTGTACCACAACTAAACACCCCCCCCCCATGAGCCACTGTGTCGTCTGAGTAATTCAGGTAAGAAAGTATGTATAATGAATGAAGCGTGATCTAAGCATTTGTTTTGTTACTCTACTGTATATTGGGTCATCTTCAGGATAGATATTTATCAATGCTCATAACCTCCAAAAAATTTTTACCTCAGAGACACATCAATCTTGGACTCGTATTGGCACCTCAAAGAATCAGTAAACTTTACCTCCTCAATATAGGAGGGGGAGTTCATTACCAGTTGTCTTAACTAGTCCCTTCCCACTGATATCTTGGAGATTATGTCTATGAACTCCATTGTCATACGATATGTACCCTTTTTTGTGGTTTTTTGTAACACAAGGCCTCATGATGCGAGTTCACATCCAAGCGTAGCACTTTCGTATTGTATGTAAACTCGCTTTCAGTTATGTTTGATTACAGTTGTGGAAATAATCTTGATTGTGGTGGCACGCACTATGTCTTGTCACATGTACAAGATACTGTACATGGCAGTGAATGTGTTAAGAATGTTTTGTAATAAGCAAATAGTATAGCTGCACATAGTACACTAGCAGATAATATATGAAGTTAGATTAATGCATGAAAATATTTTTGAATGCATTAATCTAACCTTGGTCAGGATTTTTGGTTTTAGCTTTTCCATTGCATTTCAGTTCTTTAACTGTGGCTTTTTATGACAAGCTTCTGGAAACTGCAACGGTTCTGTTAAGTCAACATTTTTAATTTTCATGACATACCTAGCCAAAGAAAACTTAATCAACATCATTTTTTCTTTGAATAAAAGTCATCTTTCTTTGTCCGGGCCGATAGAATCTTGCAATTATTGCGTCTAGACTAAGGCCACTCACTAGGCCTAGAACTAATTCTTTATCTACTGTGTCACCCAAGTCGTCAGGAAATAATTCTATGGAGTCTTGGCCTCCCAGACCTAGGCCTACATCTTAAAAATTTGTTCCTTGAGACTTGAAATACGTCTCAAATAGTCCAATTCCAAATTCCTCTTTTTCTTTATTTTTGGCATCCATATAATTCAATAAAACCCTTAAATCCCCTGCTGCAAAAATTTTAAAGCGATTTTCAGCTTTTAGTTTTACTGGCTCCATGTTCACGACACTATATCATTATCAACAAATGCTCGAGTATATCATCTGCCCAGGGCCTGAACTGCCTTTCCAGGCGTGCCTTGTAGTACAGCTAAGTGTAAAACGCATAGCAAATAGTATAGATCTGCAAGAGGTCCGACTCTCTTGGTTTAGTTGGAACATAGTCCTATTTAAAAAATTACTACCACAAACTAGAGGTTGTCCTACAAAAGGCAAGTTTCAAACTCTATTTGAATTCTAATAGGGCGCCCCCTATATCATGGTAGTACTTTTTTAAACGTCGCATTGTGTGCATACAAAATCAGGGCAGTCAGACCTCTTGCAACTCTATACTCTTTGCGCAGAGCTAGCCAATCCTCGCAGTTACAAAAACATGAAGTACTTTTTTTTCGCGAACAAATGTAAAAGAAGTCAAGCAAACTGTGCACTAATGAAAAATTAGTGCACAGTTTGGGGATAGGAAAATAACATTTGGAGTTACAGTGATGATGTCATGCTTGGCTTGTAATATGTTTTATAAAAATTCATATTCTGTACATGTTAGAACTTTTGTCAATGTATGTGCATTAATTTTGAAATAAACTGAACCTCAGTTGATATTTTGTTGTCTTTTATTTAATCATTTATATTATAATTGCTATATTTTGAATGACAACAAAACAATTTCAAGGTCACTAATAATAATTATTTATAAGTCATCTTTCTGAAAAAACCCAGAATCCCTACAACAACAAATGAAATAGAATTATACACTGTAGAAATGTCATAAGGTAATAGGGGAAAAGCAGGTAATTATGCAAATGGTTAATAAGAAACAATGAACATTTATATTACCCTCAAACACAAGCTCAACAAACAGATAATATATCATTAACGTCTTATATTTCAGGATACAGATGACAGTGTGAATGCTATTCTATAGGCTTGGTCTGATCTCTGCAAGTGCTGTCGCCATACACTTGCCTTGAAACAGAATCAGGTTGTGTCTGCGGAAGGCTTGCAGAAAGCCCTGAGGGTGCTGCGACTACATTAGCTACTCTACAAGCATGGAGGATATTTTTCCATGCCACAGGCATAATCAGTTTAGTACCATGCTTGCATGCAGACAATTCCTCCATGTTACATATTAGTGAGTGACATAGTGAGATGACACATATAAAGCTGTTTTATCACTAAATATAACTCTAATTTATATTCATACATTATATTTATATTTTTAACGACACAATGAATAACAATGAAAACATGGAGTGCATACCCTCGCCCTGTACCTGAATACTGAACAATATGCAAGCCGCGTATGATGGCCGATTCCATTATTTTTCTCTGCATGAACAATACTTAGGCAGGCCATTCCATTATTTTTTTTATGCTTGGGGTAAAAATTTGAATTTCCATGATCTTGACCTTGTCCTGTGACCATTTCTTCCCAAAATTTAATCATTTCTTTGAATATTATGTACCATTCCACTAAATTTTAGGATGATCCATATTCCTTAGTTTTTCGGTAATCTTGCTAACAGACAGCGGTAATACATAACCTCCTTTGGCAGAGATAATAATCGCATAAAAATTAATTGTGACAGCCAGAACATTGATAATAGATTGAGATTGGACCTTTATTTAGTACTATAGAAATATAATGAGGAAGTTGTGTGAGGTTATATACAGCTCTGTATAAGCAATTTGTATAATGTGTCACTTTTTTATGGAGACTTCCATCTCGCAGATGTTTCTGTTTGTTTGCTTCCGACTCTCATAGACATTCTGTCTGCATCCTTTATGTTTACATGTACAAGTAATTTATTTTTTATTAAAATATAGTCTATAAGATAAGAATAAACAGGCAATATGTTTTTCTGTAAACATCCTTCATTCTTATATAATAATGATAATATTTTTATTTTGAAACAGAAAGCTTGATTTCCACCTGTGCAGGGGTTTTTAACAGGCCGTTTTAAAATCTAAATGAGTGCATTGAAATACTGTATGTTTAAAAAAATTTTTCTGTGTTTTATAATCAGTTTTTGCTGATTTACAAACATTTTACTATATAAATTCTTAATTAATCCTGTGTAGTTATATGCAAAGATTAAATGAATGGTTATTATTTGAATTATTTTTGAAATGTTTAAAACAATTGAAAGTTGATAATTTACTTAAGTATACAATAATTTTGTTCATTCAGTTTATTTGCTGACCACGGACAGTCTTTAAAAGTACAGTACATGAGCATAGAACTGCCAATAATAAATACATACAGTAATAACCATGATTTGGGTTAGCGGAAATTTTCCAACAAAACACAGACGTGCTGGGTTACCATTAGATTAAAATGATAGGTCTACGACAAACGTTACAATGCTATTCTATTGGTTAATTTTGACAACTCCTGACAAAACTGATATTTACCAAAATTTCAAAGAGTTTCTAAGAGAAGGACGTACCATTGTTAAAAGTTAATTTGCACACGTCAATTGAAATTAGGTAGGCAAAAGTAATAGGTGCCATATCAATGTTTATATTGATATTTAATAGTTGTTTTTTCTTCGCGTACTTTCCAGATTGTTTCCAAGGATGATACCAGTGACTTCCTTCAGTCTTCCTTTGAAGTGTAACCCTGAAGTGTGTCAATTTAATGATCTTTGTTCAGCTTTAGTTTTCTGAAAGGAATTTTAATACAGAGTTACTGTGAAGGTCATCTATCAACTTCATTCACAATAGTGATTTATGATTTATTTATGCCTGGCAACCTACAAAAATGACAAATGTATGAATTTCATATTGTAAAGTTCAAGGTATGGAATACGAATAACAATGTTTTCAGAAAACAATGGGCAATTATTGTAAACGTGACATGTAATAATTAACAAAATCTGTCATATTTCAAAATTTGAAGTAGGGATGGATCTATTCTATGCTTCTACTGTTTTCTGTCAGGTACAGAAAACTTGCTAAATATTTGGCTATTGAATTTAAAATGTGAAATGTACTATCATCTCTTGTGTATTTCTTATATCCACCAGCCATTGATGAAGATGCGACTCCTAAAAATTGTCTACTGATATTTAGGGTTTTGGTTTTAGCCCTATCATGAATATTTTCAGTAAAATAGTTGTTTAAAAAACAATTTCCAAATTATGAAAATCATTTCCAGTATTGGGTGAAAGTTTGAAGACATGCTGATTTCTAAATCTATGATTTCCTTGAATCTTGATTGGTTGTATTTTTTAAATTGCAGGATAGGTCTACCTATGCTGTACTGAAATCTTAATTGTCACGGATTGTGCCATTACTAAAGAAATAAATGAATCATTCACTTAATCAGGAACATTCCAGTGGCATGGAAATGCCCTCTAACCTTCATGTTCAAGAAGTGTCATTCATGATTAAGTATATTTGTTGTGCTTTATTGTTTCCTCAAAACAATGGTACATGACCTTAGGCCTGAGGTGCAAGACCTTCTCAATACCTCCAGACAGAGACAGAGTGCTTCTTTGCTTTGGTGCCTCCAACAATTATCTTTGTTGTTTGATTTGTCACCATTGGACATGTGGCCTTGTGAGATTTGGGAGATTCCCTAAAACATGATGCAAACATTTAAATAAATAACTTAGTGAGCCACGGTTTTGCCCAGGCTCTGTTTACTTGTTTTTTTGTTTTTTTTTGCCGATTTTAGGCTGAAAATGTTCTTATTCTTGTTCTTATTTTGCACACTTTTCAAACATAGAAAATTATTATTGTACTGCAGTATATTAGTGTACTGTATATTACTGTACTTATCTAATGCACATAAGCTTCAGATAAGATTTGTTGGTTTTTCTTGTTTTTTTTTATTTTTTTAAAAATAAAAACATCATTTGACATTTTATTTCAGCCTGAATTTGTTCTTATTTTGTTTTTAATTTGTAAGCAATTTCAGCCTCAGTGTTCTTTTAAAATGTGTTCTTATTAAAAGGAGTGTACTTCCATGATATTAAATTTATAGCATTGTGTATAATATTAAAATGATATTTTTTTTTAAATCAATGGATTAGAAATACTATAAGATACATAGAAAATAAGTGCTTTCTTTGGTGAATTATAGTGACAAATTAGTTTATAAAGATAAAGAGATGATTCATTTTATTTTATTTCCAACTTATTCTGGATAGCACACACACAATTCATGAAAGATAGTTTTTATTACGGTCTATATTAAGTCCCAATATAACAATACATCAATAAATATAAATTAAAAATTATAAATTGGATAAAAATTATATAAGTCAATGCATGAAACATAAAGATTGAGAAGCCATTTTCATTGCTGAGTTGAATACGCAATTTGAACTACAACTTGATTGACATTTTGTTAATTAGTGAATAAGCCTTGAATGCTCTATATATAGTTTTATTGTGATATTGCTAAAAATAGCCTCTAATGATATAGGTCTTCTAACACTATGTATGAGTGATTACATTAATAGAATCTTTGGAAACGATCTCAGTGGAATAAAGTGTTCTTAACATGATGGTATCTGTAGAATAGTAACCACTATGGCAGTATGTTCTCAAAGCCTGTCTGCTGCCCTCACAGGCTACTGCAAAGTAGCTTTGCATCTTCTAAAAACCTGCATGAGTTCTTTCGTATGGGTATTCGTCTACAGTATTTGCTTATTGATTCTAAAAATCAGGCTCTGGAGGAAAAAAAATATTTTGATATGTTGTAGAACTGATATTTCTAAGACAGAAAAAGTACTTTGATCAAAAACTGAGCAAAAAGGGGTGTAACCACCCACTTTTACACCTTCCCCCCCCCCCCCATAAATATTCAAAAATCTGTATCTCATTCACCGTTCCCCAGTTTTTCGTCAAAAGAACTTTTTTCTGTCTTAGAAATGGTAGTCTCTTTCCAAAGCAAAATGCACTAATTACCACTGTAACGCTATGGAATTCTCCTCAGGAAGTTGAATGTACAGTATGTTCTATATGTGCTTTATCCAATGACCGGGGGGTTGTAATGGGAAGCGCTTAGATGCCTTGTTGGTACGAAATGCTATATATATTATTATTTTATGGATATAATGTAGTAGGATTATACCCTTCTCATTGACTTCTATCAGAATCATTTTCTCGTTAACGCCTTTTCATATTAGCATATTTTTTTCATTTTTTTTTTCAGGGTTTCTTTTTGTTTTAGTGAAAAGAAACAAATTTTGCTACATAATATCGACCTAGTCTCCAAAAAAAGACAATATTTTATATAAAAATTTAAAGAGGTTATTTTCATCTATAATCCATTTATTCAATCATGAATCTTATTTTAATTATTAGTTTCTGGTTGGTTATAAATTGACCGAGTCTCATTCAGTGTGGATTGTATTTTCTGAACCACTTTGGAAATCACTGCATTTAGTACTGAGAGTACTTAATATAAAAAAAGAATAAATAAATAAATGTCAAAGGGTTTCTTAACCAATCACAATATCACAGGTTCAATCATTCCAAAAAGATTTCCTGAAGATTAGAATCTACTCAACTGCTTTAACCCAGCTGTTTTAACCTACCCGGTATATAAATCTAAAGACTAAATCTAATTAGGAAGCTTAGGAAATGG